AGTGAGGCCAGTGGAGAGAGAGAGAGAGTATCTATATAAATAAAAATGTAATGTTCATTTGTGGGATTAACATAACTCAAAAACCATGATGAATTGACACAAAATTTGGACACTACCCCCCTAACAGGAGCCCCCGGTGGCGCAGTGGGTTAAAGCACTGAGCTGCTGAGCTTGTTGATTGAAAGGTCGCAGGTTCGATTCTGGGGAGCAGCGTGAGCTTCCGCTGTCAGCCCTAGCCACATGACCTTGGAGGTGTCTACGGACAACACTGGCTCTTCGGCTTAGAAATGGTGATGAGCACCACACCCCTGAGTCAGACATGACTGGACTTAATGTCAGGGGACTACCTTTACCTTTACCTTTTTACACCCCTAACAGACCAATGAATGACCATCACTCATAAACCCCTCCCAAAAAATAATGTAAAGGGCTTAAAACCTCCAAAAAGCTAAATGACTATACAGCACATGTGTGAAAACGACAGCTCCCATCATCCCCCAGACCAGGCCCTTTAGAGGAGGAGGATGCTCCAAATGCACTGCTTCCAAGCTGCAAGCTTGCTTCTCTTTGGATTTCTTTGGGAGCATCCCAATCTGTACATATTTCCTATTCCTGAACTGTAACTCCCAGCTTTCCTCCAGATAGATATGATATATAGATCAGATCAGCATTTCTCAACCTGGGGGTCGGGACCCCTGGAAGGGTCGCCAGGGGGTGTCAGAGGGGTCGCCAAAGACCATCAGAAAACACAGTATGTTCTGTTGGTCATGGGGGTTCTGTGTGGCAAGTTTGGCCCAATTCTATCATTGGTGGGGTTCAGAATGCTCTGTGATTGTACGTGAATCCCAGCAACGACAACGCCCAAATGTCAAGATTCTATTTCCTCCAAACTCCACCAGTGTTCACATTTGGGCATATTGAGTATTTGTGTAGGGTTTGGTCCAGATCCATCATTGTTTGAGTCCACAGTGATCTCTGGATGTAGGTGAACGACAACTCCAAAACCAAAGGACACTGCACACCAAATCCTTCCAGTATCTTCTGTTGGTCATGGGAGAACTGTATGCCAAGTGTGGTTAAGTTCCATCGTTGGTGGGGTGCAGAATGCTCTTTGATTGTAGGTGAACTATAAATCCCAGCAACTACAACTCCCAAATGACAAAACCAATTTTTTTGAGTGAAGGACATACATTGTTAGGTGTCTTGTGTCCAAATTTGGTGTTAATTCGTCCAGTGGTTTTTGAGTTCTGTTAATCCCACAGACGAACATCGCATTTTTATTTATATAGATTATTATTATTATTATTATTATTGCCCCAGACCTTTAATTATGCCACTGTCTTGCTACTATTGAACTCCAGCCTTCTTGAGTTTTTCATGTCTGCAGTCTTTTTTCCTCCAAAACAAAACTGACATTGGCTTTTTTCATACCATTCTTCGGGAAGTTCCAAGGCAAAAAAAAATAGGGTAAACATCACCCTTTAAGTAGTAACACTAGAGAGTGTGCAGAAAGCATAAAGCTGGAGATCGATTTTGGAAGATGAGGAAATTCAGATGCAACTTGCACGAACCAGCAGCAGAGCCGTTTATTTGCATTCCTGGGATAACTTCCTTTTCTGCCAACCCCGGGCCATTCAGAGAAGCCAGGGAGGAAATGACTTGCATTCTAAGGCTTTTTGAGGGGAGGAAAGAGATGAGGGGCAGCGTAAACCCAATATTCAGGATCCTTTCCTGCAAAACAAGGAGTCACCGAGAGAGTATTTCCAGCTCCTTTTGTTTTCAAACTGCAAAACCAAGATCTCCAGGTGTTCAAAACTGTATTTCTCAGCTGTTTGTGGATCTAGGCACCAACCTTGGAATCTGACCCAGGGCCACGTTTTGTATTCAAATGCAGGGAATTGTTGAAATATTTAGGATGTCTCCGTCTTACTCCCAGGCAGCTGGACAAGTTGTCCTTCTCTGCTTTCAACTCTTCATTTCCTTTCCAAAATAATCCCATGTGGCTTCATTAGGGCGTTCGAGGTCATGGATTGATGTCAATGGAAGCTCATGTAGAAATATATGTATGCTAGTGCATTGCTGTGAGTTTTTGGGGCTGTATGGCTATATTCCAGTAGCATTCTCTCCTGATGTTTTGCCTGCATCTGTGGGTAGTGGCATCTTCGGAGATTATGTTGCTAGTGAGGCAAATGAGGTGTGTGTGTGTGTGTGTGTGTGTGTGTATTAGGCTTGGGCAATCCATGGTTCTAAATGGTTCTAAAGTACTTACAAAACTAAAGTTCTGGTGGTGAAAATTTCAGAACTCTAACAAAACTCTCAAAATTTCGTAATAAATGGCAGTTCCTAATTGGTTCTGTCATTAAAATCACCAATAATGAAATAATAATGAAATTTTGAAAGTTTTGTTAGAGTTCTGAAATTTTCACCACCAGAACTTGTAAGTACTTTAGAACCATTTAGAACCATGAATTGCCCAAGCCTAGTGTCTGTCTGTCTGTCTGTCTATCTATCTATCTATCTATCTATCTATCTATCTATCTATCTATAAATGCTCTGTGCATAATGAGTACCTTAAAAACAAAAGAACCAATGAACGAAATCACACCAAATTTGGCAACAAAACATCTCACAACACAAGGAGTGACCATCACTCAAAAATTATGATTTTGTCATTTGGGAGTTGTAGTTGCTGGGATTTATAGTTCACCTACAATCAAAGAGCATTCTGAACTCCATCAACGATGGAATTGAACCAAACTTGGCACACAGAACTCCCATGACCAACAGCAAATACTGGAAAGGTTTGGTGGGCATAGCTCACCTACATCCAGAGAGCACTGTGGACTCAAACAATGATGGATCTGGACCAAACTTGGCACAAGCAGTCATTACGTCCAAATATGAACACAGATGGAGTTTGGGAGAAATAGACCTTGACTATTTGTAGTCACGGATTCACAGGAGTTGTAGTCAACGATTGAATTGAACCAAATTTGGCACACTGTTCTCCCATGATCAACAGAAAATACTGGAAGGGTTTGGTGGGCAGTTTCCTTTGCTTTTGGAGTTGTAGTTCACCTACATCCAGAGATCACTGTGGACTCAAACAATGATGGATATGGACCAAACACGACACTAATACTCGATATGCCCAAATGTGAACACTGGTGGAGTTTGGGGAAAATAGAATCTTGATGTTTGGGAGTTGTAGTTGCTGGGATTTACAGTTCACATACAATCGCAGAGCATTCTGAACCCTACCAATGATAGAATTGGGCCAAACCTCCCATATAGAACCCCCATGTGGGCCACAGCAACGGGTGGCAGAGGACGGCTAGTATAAGCATAATAAACAATATACACAAAACATTAAAAAAAAGCAGTAAACCAAACATAATGACAGTGAGCAAGCCGCATGTACATAAAATGATTTAAAAACTCAGGGTGAGATAAAGGAGCAGAATTATGTGTAAGGGAGAACTCGTAGAGAGACAAGGAAATAGACCTTCGTACGGGGGGGGGGGGGGATACTCCTAGGACAAGAACATTGAGGGGAGAAATAGCGTAAGATTGGTGGGCAGTTATATGTGACTACTCTCCAAAAGTGCAAAGGCAGAGCCAGGTCTTGAGATTCTTTTTAAAGGTTTCTAAGATAGGGGCTTTCCTAATCTCTCCGGGCAATGAGTTCAGAGTCAGGGGGCCACAGAGGAGAAGGCTCTCTCCCTTGTACCCACAAGGCGAGTCTGACAAACTGTCAAGGGCAAAAGGAGGGCCTCCCCCAAAGATCGAAGAGTTTGGGCTGGTTCATGGAGAGAGATATGATCACGAAGGTAGGCAGGTCCCAAACCGTTTAGGGCAGCATTTCTCAACCTGGGGGTCAGGACCCCTGGAGGGGTCATGAGGGGTATCAGAGTTTCGCCAAAGACACAGTATTTTCTGTTGGTCATGGGGGTTCTGCGTGGGAAGTTTGGCCTAAATTCTAACCTTGGTGGGGTTCAGAATGCTCTTTGATTGTAGGTGAATAATAAATCCCAGTAACTACAACTCCCAGTGTCAAGGTCTATTTCTCCCAAACTCCATCTGTGTTCATATTTGGACGTAATGACTGCTTGTGCCAAGTTTGGTCCAGATCCATCATTGTTTGAGTCCACAGTGCTTTCTGGATGTAGGTGAACCTCAACTCCAAAACTCAAGGTCACTGCCCATCAAACCCTTCCAGTATTTTCTGTTGTTCCTGGGAATTCTGTGTACCAAGTTTGGTTCAATTCCATCATTGGTGGTTTTGGAGTGCTCTTTGATTGTAAGTGAACTATAAATCCCAGCAACTACAACTCCCAAATGACAAAATCACTCCCCCATCCAACGCCACCAGTGTTCAAATTTGGGTGTATCGCGTATTTTGGCCAAATTTGGTCCAGTGAATGAAAATACATCCTGCATATCAGATATTTACATCATGCTTCATAACAGTAGGAAAATTACAGTTGTGAAGTTGTCATGAAAATAATTTGCTGGTTGGGGTCACCACAACATGAGGAACTGTATTAAGGGGTCCCGGCATTAGGGAGGTTGAGAACCACTGGTTTAGGGCTTTATAGGTAAAAACTAGGCCTGGGTAACAACGCAAAAATTTGTTTCTAAAATCGATTTGTATTTGGGGGTTTTTTTGTTTCGATATTTAAAATAATTACAAAAGGGTAGCCCCACGTAGAGTGCATTGTAGTAATAATCTAGTCTAGAGGTAACTAATCTAGTCTAGAGGTGACTAATGCTTTCAGGCCTTTTAACCTGCTTTTAGGACTACCTAATGATCCTAAATTACTTTTTCACCTCATGTTTTGTAGTGGCTCGCTGGCAACCGAAGGGTAGGATAGGCAGAGAAAATATCTGAATGAGAACAGAAGTGACTTTCGGATCTTCATTTGAAGGGTTTCCAATTTTTCTTGAATATTGAAGGGTCTTTTTTTCCTTTTCTTGTAACGTGCCTTCTTTTCCGGCAGGGTGAAGCGGCCGGGGGGCCTTGACAGCCTCCTGGGGAAGATCGGGTCGAAGAAGCAGAAGTTGAGCACCTTGGAGAAGTCCAAGATGGACTGGGAAAGCTTCAAAGAACAGGAAGGCATTGGGGACGAGCTGGCCATCCACAACCGAGGGAAAGACGGGTGAGAGGAAGGGGGACCTTTCACCAAGCAGATTCCGGGGCGGGGAGTTGCATTTAGGGGTCCCCCTCTTCCCCAGAGATTGGGACGCTGGAGTCTCCCAGGAAAAGATGAGTGGGGATGTTTGGCCATCTGAGTCCCACTGCCTTTCTCCCGTCCCCCCACAATTCTCTCTTGGAGAAATAACATTCTCCATTCAGCCACAGAATCCTACTGGTTGACCTTGGCGAGTCGCACTCTCTCAGCCTCTGAGGAAAGCAAATTAAGAGCCCCTCAGAACGCATCTTGCCAAGGAAACCCCGGTGAAAGTCTCTCCTTAGGGTTGCCATACTTCGGAAGAGACTTGAACGCATACAACAACAACATAAGAAGGAACTGACTGGCCAATCCGTTCCTTTTTTTTTTTTTTTTTTTTTTGAAGTTTGCTATTTCCAACATTTTACACATAACTTCTTAAGACTAACATACGTGTGTTGTCGAAGGCTTTCATGGCTGGAATCACTGGGTTGCTGTGAGTTTTTCAGGCTGTATGGCCATGCTCCTGTAGCATTCTCTCCTGACGTTTCACCTGCATGTGCATGGCATCCTCAGAGATTTTGTTGGCAGTGAGGCAAGTGGAGTGTGTATATATCTGTGGAATAATGTCCAGGGTGGGAAAAAGAATGCTTCTCTGTTCAAAGCAAGTGTGAATGTTGCCATTAGCAAGCTTGAAAAGCATGGAGTAGCCATGAAACTGCAAAGTCAATCAGTGAGAGTATCTTTATAGAGGAAGCTTGGGCTTTGTAACATTCCCATTTGCTTTTAACAGACAAGAGTTCTTTCTCCCACCCTGGAGATTCCACAGACAGACAGACAGACAGATAGATAGATAGATACACACACGCGCGCACACACACACGAGTATAAGCCGAGTTTTTCAGCTCTTTTTGTAGGCTGAAAAAGCCCCCCTCAGCTTATACTCAAGTCAAATTTATTTATTATTTTACTCTGTAATTATTATTATTATTATTATTATTACTACTACATTTAATATTTTACTCTCTTATTATTACATTTATTATTTTACTCTTGTTATTATATTTATTATTTTACTCTATTATTATATTTATTATTTTTCTCTGTTATTATTACATTTATTATTTTACTCTATTATTACATTTCATTATTTTACTCTATTTATTATTGCTAATATTACATTTCCATTATTTTACTCTATTATTATTATTATTAGTAGTAGTAGTAGTAGTACTACTACATTTAATATTTTACTCTCTTATTATTACATTTAATAATTATTTTTCTCTATTGTTATTATTACTTTTATTATTTTACTCTATTATTATATTTATTATTTTACTCTATTATTAATATTATATTTATTATTTTTTCTGTTATTATTACATTTATTATTTTACTCTATTGTTATTACACTAATTATTTTTCTCTATGATTACATTTCCATTATTTTACTCTATTATTATTATTATTATTATATTACATGTATTATTTTACTCTCATTATTGGAAGGATACGTAAGCACATTTACACTGAAGAAGGTTAGAATAATGGTTTAATCAGAACTGGACAGTTTTATCTTACATTACAGTTTTGTGTAAATATTCAAAAACGTGGAATCTACGAATGCCTCAATTAATGTAATTTTATTGGTATCTATTTTTATTTTGCAATTTACCAGTAGCTGCTGCATTTCCCACTCTTGGCTTATACTCGAGTCAATACATTTTCCTAGTTTTTTGTGATAAAATTAGGTGCCTAGGCTTATATTCGGATCGGCTTATACTCGAGTATATACGGTACAAAGATCCAGGAGAGGCCAAAAATACTGACGAGACCCTTAGAAATAACTTAACCATTTTCCAGGCAAACCACACGTTCTGAGTACCCACAATGGATTTAGGAACTGCACGTCCAAGCACTAGAACCCCTTCTACACAGCCATATAAAGTCTACATTATCTGCTTTGATCTGAATTATATGGCAGCTGGGTTTAGAAAAGGCAGAAGAACGAGAGACCAGATTGCCAATATGGAGAAAGGCAGGGAGTTTCAGAAAAACACCAATTTCTGTTTTATGGACTATTCTAAAGCCTTTGACTGTGTGGATCATAATAAATTGTGGCAAGTTCTTGGTGGGATGGGCATACCAAATCACCTTCCCTCTCTCCTGAGGAATCTGACCAAGGACCAAGGAGCAACAGTCAGAACTGACCATGGAACAAGAGACTGGTTCAAGATTGGGAAAGGCGTACGGCAAGGCTGCATACTCTCACCCAACCTTTCTAACTTGTATGCAGAACACATCATGCGATGTGCGGGGCTGGATGAATGCAAAGCTGGGGTGAAAATTGCTGGAAGAAACATTAACAACCTCAGATATGCAGATGACACCACCCTGATGGCCGAAAGCGAGGAGGAGCTGAGGAGCCTTCTAATCAAGGTGAAAGAAGAAAGCGCAAAAGCCGGGGTGCAGCTAAACATCAAAAAAACCAAGATTATGGCAACAAGAATGATTGACAACTGGAAAATAGAGGGAGAAAACGTGGAGGCCGTGACAGACTTTGTATTTCTAGGTGCAAAGATTACTGCAGATGCAGACTGTAGCCAGGAAATCAGAAGACGCTTCCTTCTTGGGAGGAGAGCAATGTCCAGTCTCGATAAAATAGTGAAGAGTAGAGACATCAGACTGGCAACAAAGATCCATTGCCTAGTCAAAGCCATGGTCTTCCCTGTAGTCACCTACGGATGTGAGAGCGGGACCTTAGGGAAGGCTGAGCGAAGGAAGATCGATGCTTTTGAGCTGTGGTGCTGGAGGAAAGTGCTGAGAGTGCCTTGGACTGCGAGAAGATCCAACCAGTCCATTCTCCAGGAAAGAAAGCCCGGCTGCTCACTGGAGGGAAGGATAGTAGAGGCCAAGAGGAAGTCCTTTGGCCACATCATGAGAAGAAAGGAAAGCCTAGAGAAGAGAATGATGCTGGGGAAAATGGAAGGAAAAAGGAAGAGGGGCCGACCAAGGGCAAGGGGGATGGATGGCATCCTTGAAGTGACTGGATTGACCTTGAAGGAGCTGGGGGTGGTGACGACTGACAGGGAGCTCTGGCCTGGGATGGTCCATGAGGTCACCTAGAGAAGACAATGATCCTGGGGGAAATGGAAGGAAAAAGGAAGAGGGGCCGACCAAGGGCAAGATGGATGGATGGCATCCTTGAAGTGACTGGCTTGACCTTGAAGGAGCTGGGGGTGGTGATGGCCAACAGGGAGCTCTGGCCTGGGCTGGTCCATGAGGTCACCTAGAGAAGACAATGATGCAGGGGAAAATGGAAGGCAAAAGGAAGAGGGGCCGACCAAGGGCAAGATGAATGGCATCCTTGAAGCGCCTGGACTGACCTTGAAGGAGCTGGGGGTGGTGACGGCTGACAGGGAGCTCTGGTGTGGGCTGGTCCAGGTGGTCACAAAGAGTCGGAAACGACTGAACGAATGAACAACAACAAACATTACTTCTGAATTATTATTATTATTATTATTATTATTATTATTATTATTATTATTATGGTGGGATGTGTTAAAACATTGTGCCAGCAGGACTGCTGACCAAAAGGTCAGCGGTTTGAATCCAGGGAGCTGGATGAGCTCCCGTCTGTCAGCTCCAGCTTCCCATGTGGGGACAGGAGAACAACAACATATGGTAGCGTAGACTCATATAATCCAGTTCAAGGCAGATAATGTGAATCATCTGCTTTGATAATCTGGATTATATGGGTATGTAGAGGCCCCTTGGGTTGTATATACAGACTCTGAATTAGCCACATAATTTGTGGAACCAGAACTATGTTCCGTCCTGGCCTGATTTTGCACATTTCGCCTTGGGAAGAGATTGCGACATCATCCCCGTGGATCGTTTAACTGTGTCTCATTAATGGCAATTTATATATAGGACAAGACCCATGAGGAACGGCCCCTGAGGTTTTGGAACGTCAGTTCTGACATCAAGTAGGGCAGACCTTGCAAGAGTGGGTCAAGGGGGCACAAAGTGGGTTTTTTGACGGCCTTGCAGATGCTGCGTGGCTGTTCTCCACCAAAGAGACAGAGGAAGAGCCCGTAAAAATGCACCTGACTTCATCAATGTCATTATTTCAAAATTATATATAGGTCGTAATTAGCCAAGCAATTTGGGATACTTCAGAAAGGCCCGGAGAAGGGATTCGGCTCTGTTTAATTCTACTTCCCATCCCAATGTTATCCTATATTCAAGAAGGAGATGGAAGGTGTCTATTTATCTGATTTAGATTCTTGTACTTTTCCCCCCTTCACTTTGGCTATCAGTTCTTTCCAATTTGAGGCCCAGTTCCCCATAGGATATCTGTTTATATACAAATTTTTACTTTCAGTGATTTAATCCTGGAGCATATAGTCAGCTAAATATTCATGCCATTTTTATTTCCCACTAGCTGTACCCGCCACACGTTGCTGTGGCCAACCTTCCCTCCCTCTTTCTCCTTCTTTCTTTCTCTCCTTCCCTCCCTCCCTCCCTCTTTTCTTCCTTCCTTTCCTTTTTTCTTTCCTTCTCTCCTTCCTTATTCCTCTTCCCTTCCTTACTCCCTCTTTTTCTTTCTCTTCTTCTTTACTTTCTTCCTTCTCTTCCTCTTTCTCTCCTTTCTTCCTTCTCTTCCTCTTTCTCTCTTTTCTTCCTTCTCTCCCTCTTTCTCTCCTTTCTTCCTTCTCTTCCTCTTTCTTCTTTCATTCCCTCTTTCTCTCTTCTCTTCCTCTTACTCTCCTTTCTTCCTTCTTTCCTTCTTTCTCTTTTCTTCTCTCCCTCTTTCTCTCCTTTTTTCCTTCTTTCCGTCTTTTTCTCTTTTCTTCCTTCTCGTCCTCTTTCTCTCCTTTCTTCCTTCTCTTCCTCTTTCACTCCTTTCTTCTTTCATTCCCTCTTTCTCTCCTTTCTTCTTTCTTTCCGTCTTTCTTTCTTTTCTTCCTTCTCCCTCTTTCTCTCTTTTCTTCCTTCTCTCCCTCTTTCTCTCCTTTCTTCCTTCTCTCCCTCTTTCTCTCCTTTCTTCCTTCTCTTCCTCTTTCTTCTTTCATTCCCTCTTTCTCTCTTTTCTTCCTTCTCTCCCTCTTTCTCTCCTTTCTTCCTTCTTTCCGTCTTTTTCTCTTTTCTTCCTTCTCGTCCTCTTTCTCTCCTTTCTTCCTTCTCTTCCTCTTTCACTCCTTTCTTCTTTAATTCCCTCTTTCTCTCCTTTCTTCTTTCTTTCCGTCTTTCTTTCTTTTCTTCCTTCTCCCTCTTTCTCTCCTTTCTTCCTTCTCTCCCTCTTTCTCCTCTTTCTTCCTTCTCTCCCTCTTTTTCTCCTTTCTTCCTTCTCCACCTCTTTCTCTCGTTCCTTTCTTCTCTCCCTCTTTCTCTCCTTTCTTCATTCTTTACCTCTTTCTCTCCATTCTTCCTTCTCCAACTCTTTCTCTCCTTCCTTTCTTCTCTCCCTCTTTCTCTTCTTTCTTCCTTCTCTCCCTCTTTCTCTTTCTTTCTTCTATTATTTTTATTACATTTATTATTTTACTCTCTTTATTATGATTGGAGAATACATAAGGTTATTTTTGAGTTATGTTAATCCCACAAACGAACGTTACATTTTTATTTATAGAGATTATTTCATTTTTACTCTATTTATTACTGTTATTGGTACATTTATTATTTTACTCTATTATGATTGGAAGGATACGTAAGGACATTTTTGAGTTATGTTAATCCCACAAACGAACATTGCATTTTTATTTATAGAGATTATTACATTTATTTTTTTACTCTATTTAATACTGTTATTAGTACATTTCCCTTATTTTACTCTATTATTACATTTATTTTTTACTCTCTTTATTATGATTGGAAGGGTATGTAAGGTTATTTTTGAGTTACGTTAATCCAATAAACGAACATTACATTTTTATTTATAGAGATTATTACATTTTTACTCTATTTACTACTGTTATTAGTACATTTCCCTTATTCTACTCTATTATTATTTTTATTACATTTACTATTTTACTCTCTTTATTATGATTGGAAGGATACGTAAGGACATTTTTGAGTTATGTTAATCCCACAAATGAACATTACATTTTTATTTATAGAGTTTATTACATTTTTTACTCTATTTAATACTGTTATTAGTACATTTCCCTTATTTTACTCTATTATTATTTTTATTACATGTATTCTTTTACTCTATTATGATTGGAAGGATACGTAAGGACATTTTTGAGTTATGTTAATCCCACAAACGAACAATACATTTTTATTTATAGAGATTATTCCATTTTTACTCTATTTATTACTGTTATTAGTACATTTCCCTTATTTTACTCTATTATTACATGTATTTTTTACTCTCTTTATTATGATTGGAAGGATACGTAAGGTTATTTTTGAGTTATGTTAATCCCACAAACGAACATTACATTTTTATTTATAGAGATTATTACATTTTTACTCTATTTATTACTGTTATTAGTACATTTCCCTTATTCTACTCTATTATTATTATTATTATTATTATTATTATTATTACATTTACTATTTTACTCTCTTTATTATGATTGGAAGGATACGTAAGGACATTTTTGAGTTATGTTAATCCTACAAACGAATACTACTTATTTAGATAGATAGATAGATAGATAGATAGATAGATAGATAGGTAGGTAGGTAGGTAGGTAGGTAGGTAGGTAGATAGATTTGTTCCACACCATTTCTTGTGCGACTCCTATCATATATTTTACTAGCAGTCCCCTGCCACGTGTTGCTGTGGCCCAGTCTGGTGATCTGGAAAACAAAGTAATGAGAAAGTGTTGGTTTCTAATATATGTAATGTCTTTCTGCTTCTGGGTAAACAGTGTTTCTTGCTGTTTCTTTGTCAGTGTTGATGTGGAGATTGTCTGGTTTGCCTACTCTGGAACAGGCAACATATCATTGTCCTTCTTTAGGGGTCCCTTTCAAATCTCTGATACTATATCTATGTGTGTGTGAATCATATCTATCTAATTATCTATATCTATGGCTGGATGGCTCTTTGTCAGGAGGGCTTTGATTACGTTTTCTTGCCCTTGTGAAGGGAGTTGGACTGGACGGTCTTAAGTATTTTCTGTTGGTCATGGGGGTTCTGTGTGGGAAGTTTGCCCCAATTCTGTCGTTTGTGGGGTTCAGAATGCTCTCTGATTGTAGGTGAACTATAAATCCCATTAACTACAACTCCCAAATGTAAAGGTCTATTTCCGCCAAACTCCACCAGTGTTAACATTTTGGCACATTGAGTATTTGTGCCAATTTTGGTCCAGATCCATCATTGTTTGAATCCACAGTGCTCTCTGGTTGTAGGTGAACTACAACTCCCAAACTCAAGGTCAATGTCCACCAAACCCTTCTAGTGTTTTCTGCCGGTCATGGGAGTTCTGTGTGCCTCGTTTGGTTCAATTCCATCATTGATAGAGTTCAGAATGCTCTTTGATTATAGGTGAACTATAAATCCCAGCAGCTACAACTCCCAAATGACAGAATCATAATTTTTGAGTGATGGTCATTCCTTGTGTTGTGAGACGTTTTGTCGCCAAGTTTGGTGTGATTTCGTTCATTGGTTCTTTTGTTTTTAAGGCACTCATTATGCACAGAGCATTTTATATATATAGATTATAATATGTGCTCAATACTTCTCCCACCTCCGTTCTCCCGCAGGTACCTCGAAAGGAAGGCTTTTCTGGAAAGGGTCGACCATCGCCAGTTTGAGCGCGAGCGGGACATCCGCCTGAGCAACATGAAGCCCTGAAGCCGTCGCGGAGCCTGATCACGCCTCTCGTCCATCCCTCCTTTAGAGGACAGTCAACTCTAGGACCTGTATTTTGCCTTTTTCACCACCAAAGTCAATAGGAGAAGGGAGATCCCACTCTCAGAGGAGTTTATTGACTAAGGGACAGCGATGGATGCAGTTCGGCCGATTGCTTGTCCAGAATGGGGCTAACTGGGCCATTTCCAAGGTCCCCATGACGCCAATAGTTCGGACAGATGAGCAGAAGATGTGTCATAGAATTGGCACCATGAGGCATCCGCTCACCAACCGTTTGGAACACCTCCTTGTGCAGGTAACAGGTTTTAGTAACGTCACACAATGATGAGTAAAGTGTTCCCCTGCCAGCTTGCTTTTGGAAGACGTTTCTGACTCCGCTTTGGTGTTCCTTTTTTAGTGTTATTCACATCACAATCCGCAAAACTGTCGGAGAAGCAGGAGCGTGCATGCGCAGGAGGACCATTCCCCCGTTATCTCCCTCTCAATTAAAGTGTTGGAATCTGTTGCGTTGGGTCTGTCATTCCTCGCAAAATAAGGAGCCTCCAAAATAAAGCCGCCCTCTTTCCAGAATTAAAAGTGCCTGTTCCCTTGAGGTAGAAATAATAATAATAATAATGGGTTGTTGTGAGTTTTTCAGGCTATGTATGGCTATGTTCCAGTAGCATTCTCTCCTGAAGTTTCGCCTGCATCTTGTTGCACTCCAAGGCTGGGAATAATCACCTCTGTATTTAACACACACTCCACTCCAAGGTAAAATAGCAAAGCAGTTTATTGAAAAATATATTAAAGGCAATTCAACAAAATAGTATAAAGACCAAAGTCCAAAATAGCAGGATCGTGTCAGGAGCAACCAGACATTTGTATTACATTTTTAACACAAACAAACAAACAAACAAAACACAAAGTTTGCAAGCTTGGTATTCTATTAAATGTCCTTTGACCAGTATCTGGCCACTTGGAGTGCTTCCGGTGTTGCCGCAAGGAGATCCTCCCTTGTGCATGTGGCAGGGCTCAGGGTGCATTGCAGCAGGTGGTCAGTGGTTTTCTCTTCTCCGCACTCGCATGTCGAGGATTCCACTTTGTGGCCCCATTTCTGAAGGTTGGCTCTGTATCTCGTGGTGCCAGAGCGCAGTCTGTTCAGCGCCTTCCAAGTCACCCAGTCCTCTGTGTGCCCAGGGGAGAGTCTGCGCCCTACACCACTGGAGAAATTACACTTCTTAGCCGGTATTGCACCACCTGACATCCGCCGGGAAGTAGCAGCCAATAGTGAAAGGACCGAGGCAGAGACATCTCCAGCTCATCCCGTTTGGGTATCAGCCCGCACGTCAACGACTTAAATCAAGAAATAGTTTTCTAAGATCTACAGAGACACTCGCTGGAACACCCCAGCAAATGAGAGTCCAAAAGTGGCAGGCTCAAACCCAGAACCTCAACCAATGGCTGATACCAAATTAGAGATCTGTATTAATGACTTAGATGAAGGGTTAGAAGGCAGGATCATCAAGTTTGCAGACAGGACCAAATTGGGAGGGGGAGCCAAGACTCCAGAGGACAGGAGCAGGATTCGAAACGATCTTGACAGATTAGAGAGATGAATGGCCAAAACTAACAAAATGAAGTTCAACAGGGACAAATGCAAGATACTCCACTTTGGCAGGAAAAACGAAATGCAAAGATACAGAATGGGGGACGATGATGCCTGGCTCGAGAGCAGTACGTGCGAAAAAGATCTTGGAGCCCTCGTGGACAACAAGTTAAACATGAGCCAGGAATGTGATGTGGTGGCAAAAAAAGCCAATGGGATTTTGGTCTGTGTCGAGATCTAGTGTTGAGATCTGGGGAAGTCATGCTCCCCATGCTCTATTCCACTTTGGTTAGACCACACCTGGAATATTGTGTCCAATTCTGGGCACCACAAATGAAGAGAGATTGACAAGCTGGAATGTGTCCAGAGGAGGGCGACTCAAATGATCAAGGGTCTGGAGAACAAGCCCTATGAGGAGCGGCTTAAGGAGCTGGGCATATTTTGCCTGAAGAAGAGAAGGCTGAGAGGAGACATGATAGCCATGTATAAATACGTGAGAGGAACTCACAGGGCGGAGGGAGCAGGCTTGTCTTCTACCATGGAAACTAGGACACAACGGAACAATGGCTTCAAACTACAAGAGAGGAGATTCCATCTGAACACGAGGAAGAACTTTCTGACTGTGAGAGCCATTCAGCAGTGGAACTCTCTGCCCCGGAGTGTGGTGGAGGCTCCTTCTTTGGAAGCTTTTAAACAGAGGCTGGATGGCCATCTGTCAGGGGTGATTTGAATGCAATATTCCTGCTTCTTGGCAGAATGGGGTTGGACTGGATGGCCCATCAGGTCTCTTCCAACTCAGTCTCTTTCAACTCTATAGAGTTCTATGAATGGCCTGGATCTGGATTTGAATCCTGGTCCGTTTCAGGACTGATCCAATGCCGGAAACATTGCAACCACAACGTGCACCCAATCACCCTTTATGTAATTGTTACAGCTTAGACCATTTGCAAAGACCGTACATGTATAAATAGATCTACGAAATGCTTTCCTCTGGCTTGGACTCGCCAAAGCCCCTTCCAAGCCAATTCTGGGTATGTCTCCAATCGGCTGGAGCTGCCACGTCGTCTGCCTTTTGCGTTATGTATTTGTAGCCGTCGCACAAATCTACGGCTTGGAAACCTTCCTGTTGCGAATAGACACATACTGGGAATTAAGTTTGCAATCACAGGCACCGTTAAGTTATGTTATAACTATAGTTTGAGAGAGAGGGGAACTCAAGGATTTGGACAGAAGTAGAAAATCCAACCTGCCATGCATTTATACACAACTACATATGAAGTATTCCTCCTCTATTTTATAACGTCCAAAAATAGGAGTCAGTTTGTACTGTTGCTCCTTTTGTAACTAACTACTTGCCCTTAGTAACTAGAAAAAGATGAAAAAGGTTGAGGAAATAGGACATGAAAGGACTAGTATGGTATCGAAAGGGTCTTTGAGTGAAATTTGCAAGTGCTAAGCAAGGGGCTTTGAATGAAATTAACAGCAGAAGAAAAATATACCCTTTCTCTGTAGAAAAGGAGCAACAGGGAAGAAAATGTTTTTAAGAAACAAGATGTGACATGTAGAGGGCGGAAGTTATGTTGTGGTTAAGTTCAAAGGTTGTGGTTAAGTGCAGAGTCTGCAGGTACAAGAAGCTACTTTCCATCAAAAGGTCAAGGGAGAGGGGCTGGAAAGAGAGTACTTTCCATGACCTATTACTTGAGTAGAAAAAGAGGAGAGGTCGGAAGTTATGGTTGTGGTTAAGTTCAAAGGCTGTGGTTAAGCGCAGAGTTGGCAGGTACAAGAAAGTACTTTCCATCAAAAGGTCAAGGGAGAGGGGCTGGAAAGAGAGTACTTTCCATGACCTATTACTTGAGTATAAAAGCAGAAAAAGAGGAGGGGCGCGGCAGTCACATGAAGGGCATCATCTGCGTATGCTGCCAGGCTGTCCGTCTTCTTCATGAGGAAACTAAAATAAACCTTGTTTTTTGATCTTTTTTTGGGACTGTCTCCTTCCTTACATGTTCCCGTGATGTAGACCTAAGAAGACCCAATTTAGGGTCTCTAACAGTATAAGGAGATGATGGCTCGAATCCTATGGAATCCATACTGTCACAATAGTTATTTGAGTAGCTTTGACATCTACACTGCAGATTCCCATGCTACAGAATCATGGGAGCTGTAGTTTTACAAAGTCTGGTCTTCTCTGCCAAATTACAATAGCTTTCAGCCATTGCAGTGAAAGTGGTGTCAAACTGCACTAAGTCTACGGTGTAGATGCATCCTAGATATTTCAGAGAAACTAATATTGTGTTGATCTGGAGATTCCTATAGAAAACATACTATCTTTGAATCTGGAATGAGAAATGAGAGTGGGCAATAATAGCAGTAATAGCAATAATAATAATAATAATAATAATAATAATAATAATAATAATACCCTCTTTGAGTCTGGAATGAGAAATGAGAATGGACAGTAATAGCAGCAATAATAATAATAATAATAATAATAATAATAATAATAATAATAATAATGGGTTGTTGTAGGTTTTTTCGGGCTATATGGTGATGTTCTAGAGGCATTCTCTCCTGACGTTTCGCGTGCATCTATGGGAAACATCCTCACTACTTCTGAGGATGCTTGCCATAGATGCAGGCGAAACGTCAGGAGAGAATGCCTCTAGAACATGGCCATATAGCCCGAAAAAACCTACAACAACCCAGTGATTCCGGCCATGGAAGCCTTCGACAATACAATAATAATAATATAATAATAATAATAATTAATAATAATAATTAATAATAATTATGGGAAGTTTCCGACGTGTGATCCAATACAACAGCCAGTAGAGTGATCTTGTTTGCTGTGGACTCATCTTGTTGTGTTTATAATAATAATAATAATAATAATAATAATAATAATAATAATAATAATAGGAAAATCCAGTCTGAAAACATCAAACCTGCAAAAGTGTATCTAACCTTTTTACTCTATATTAACACTGCCTTACTGCAAGTTGCTTCTGTTGTGAGAGAATCAGCCGTCAGTGAAGACGTTGCTCAGGGAACGCCCAAATGTGTTACTATCTTGCGGGGAGGCTTCTCTCATGTGAACTGCCAGAAGGGACAGAGAGTTTAATCTATGCTGACGATCGTGCCATCACCACTCAAGCAGAGAGCTTTGAAATGGTTGAACAGAAGGTCTCTGAAGCTCTAGGTGCTCTTACTGCCTATTACAGGGGAAACCAGCTGATTCCTGATCTATCTAAAATGCAAACATGTGCTTTTCACCTTAAGAACAGACAAACATCCCGAGCTCTGAGGATGACCTGGGAAGGAATCCCACGGGAGCATTGCAGCGCACCCACATACCTGGGAGTCACTCTGCACCATGCTCTGACTTACAAGAAGCACTGCCTGAACATCAAGCAAAAAGTGGGCGCTAGAAACAATATCATACGAAAGCTGACTGGCACAACCTGGGGATCACAACCAGACACAGTGAAGACATCTGCCCTTGTGCTATGCTACTCTGCTGCTGAGTATGCATGCCCAGTGTGGAACACATCTCACCACGCTAAAACAGTAGATGTGGCTCTTAATGAGACATGCCGCGTTATCAGGGGGTGTCTGCGTCCTACACCACTGGAGACATTACACTGTCTAGTCTAGTGGTTCTCAACCTTCTTAATGTTGCGACCCCTTAATACAGTTCTCCATGTTGTGGCGACCCCCAACCATAAAATTATTTTCGTTGCTACTTCATAACTGTAAGTTTGCTACTGTTATGAATCATAATGTAAATATCTGATATACAGGATGTATTTTCATTCACCGGACAAAATTTCGCATAAATACCCAATACGTCCAAATTTGAATACTTGTAGGATTGATGGAGGGGATTGATTTTTGTCATTTGGGAGTTATAGTTGCTGGGATTTATAGTTAACCTGCAATCAAAGAGCATTGTGAACTCCACCAGCGATGGAATTGAACCAAACTTGGCACCCAG